CCATGACCACACGGTTCGGAAAACTGTATCTCTGAGGGCTGTGTGCAGGCGGCGCGATGGCCACACGGAAATTTCTGCCTGCGGAAACGAAGAAGGGGGGAAAGAGGGTACGCCTACTTACCTGACCAGCCGGACCGCCGAGCCGCCCAGTGGCCGAAAGATACGACTGGGACTGCAAGCCGTCGACCAGGTACACAGGCGAAGTCAATGTTGATTCGATATCTGGCATCCGGACGGGGGAGTACCGCGTGAATTGCCAGTATGGGTACTCGACAAAATTGGTGACGACATCACAGGTCACACGTTTTGATATCGTTTCAAAATTTTGGTATAATTAATTTTGATATATTTTTCAGCAAAGAGTTTTCCTACTTCGTAGGTAGGATGGAGGATATATTTGCGAGAGGAAAGAGTCTCGCCACGGCTTGAGCAGAGGAGTAGAAGGGCTGTGATGGATGAGTGTTCTTACGTTCATACTGTGATGTGGTTGATCTGTGAAAAGTAAAACTCCGACTGTTTTACTTTTGAGTATAACTCGTATTGAACCGAGTGAACGACATTGCAGTAGCGCTTTGGAACGCTTGCTCAGTGCCATCGCGATGTAACGCTTTGTTGCATACTCGTGAATACTTCAACAAGTATGGGCAGAACCAAAGATCAACCAATATAGGATGAGCATGTATGCAGCGGAAGTCTGGGAAATGGACTGACTCACATAGACTGAACTCATACAGATATCACTCGACACACAAACAATCGTGAGACGGTGGGGTCTGAGCCAATCATAGGCGATGCTCAGGCCCCGTACAACCATACACAGACGAAAGGTGGGAGGAGAGACGATGGAGGTGGGAGGTGTAGGCAGCGCCAGATGTCACCGAGATAGAATCCAGTAGGTCACCGATATGGTAGTCCAAAATGTCATCGACCACGATCAGAATGTCGTGGACAATAAATCACCAATGTCGGAGGTACAGAGTCCTAATGTAACCGGTGTCCAATCTGTGATGCCACCGAGTATCAATCCCAACTATCTCCAAGTCTCGAATCCGGTAAGTATCACAGCCTCTTACCACCGAAGTCCAAACACTGATCTCTGCCCAACTCGTACCAAAGTCTCCAATCTGAATAAGAAGAAGAAGATGAAGTCTGAAGAAGAAGAAGAGGAAGTCTGAAGAAGAAGAAGAGGAATAGTAGAAGATGAAGATGAAGATGGAGATGGAGATGGAGAGGAGAGGAAGAGAAGGGAAGCTGGGGAGGGCCTCAGGCCTCACCTGCAGGTAACAAGCTGGCGCCTTGGCAGTGGAGGGAGATCTGCTGCAGGTCACGGGAGCTATGGCGCTCCACGGTCGCAGGTAAGTCCCCTCGCTCCTCCTCGCTCCTCCTGAACTGCAGTGCGCTAAACTAGCGCTCCAGTTCCTGGTGCTGCGCTCAACCGAAATAGCGCAGCGTTGCCTCTCGCTGCTCCTCGTTCCAACCTGGGAGAATGACCGCTGGACCGGCCTAGTACCGTCCGGCGGCCGGTCGGCCTCGATGCTGGCCTCCTGCGCCGTGGGCTGAACCGTCGAAATGTCAGTTCAGCCCAGACCGGCGGGCGGCAGCCTCAAGAGCGCCGCCAGGCCCAAACGGTCATGTCGTTTGGGCCGACCTGGGTCTGCTGGCGCTGGGGTCCAACCGGTGGCCTAATAGGCCCTACCGGGAGAAAAAGGCCTGGCCTTTGGCGAGGCCAGCCTGGGTACCCCTGAAATCACGCAACAAATATCTGAAAATTTCTTATAGTAGCACTTCGTTTTTCTGATATTAGCATCCGAAAATTTCTGATGTTAGCATCTCGTTTTCTAGGCATATTAGGATAACGACAGAGGTGGTCATATTCTCGGAAAGTGGATTCATTCTGAAAATCCAATCTCTATCCTATTTTCGCACAATTTTTTCCAAAATCACAAAAAAGAATTTGACAGCCAAAATTTTGCGAAGCCTTGCCTAGATCTTCTCCTCCGTAAAATGCCTCACTGATATCAAATCGACAGATTTCAGAAAAAAAAAGAAAAAAAAAGGGGGGGGACCCTCTTCTTTTATTTTATTTTATTTTATTCTGTTGATTAGGACCGGGAGGAAAGTACAGTTTGGTTGGTTACCTGCCTGCGTTGTCCCTCCCACCCAACCCTTTGCCTGCATTCGCGGTTTGGTAAGTGCCACGTCAGCAGTGCCAAGTCAGCAGTGCCACGTCAGCAGCAGTGCCACATCAGCAGTGCCATGACGGCAGCAGTGCCACGTCAGCAGCAGGGCCACATCAGCGGTACCGCGTCAGCCGACACCGTACAGCTAACTGCAGCTTATGCTCCGACGCAGCAAACGCATCGCAGCACGTGAAGGGCGGGCAGCCGCAGCGGAACAGCAGCTCTACCTGTGGCATACTGCGCAGCCACACGGGCCTGCAGGGCCCGTCCCGCGGTCTCAGCCTAAAAGCCTAGAAACAAGGGCTTACAGGCCCCGTGTCGTTTCAGCCTGAAAGCCTGAAAACGAGGGCCTGCAGGCCCTATGTCTAAAACAGGGCCTTCCAGGCCCTGACTCTTTTCAGCCTGAAACGGAGGGCCAMTTTCGGGCCCTCATAAGATCRACCTGCCCTAACACTCAGGCACCAAACCAGGGTTTCGGGAACAGGCTATTTTTGGCCTGTTCCCACGACAGCCTCAGCAGGAGCTGCAGCGGCAGGCCCTGGCTTACTTCAGCATTGGCAAGAGCAGCCTCCTGGACTGCCCCACCCTGCAGCTGCAGGCAGTCAGGAGGCAGGCCGAGGTAGTACATAGGGAGTTCCCATGCACTTCACGGTAGGCAGAAGGCAGGAGGCAGTCTTCAGGATTCGGCTGCAGCACTCTGGAGGAGCGCTGCAGGAGTGGCGTTAGCACTAGTAGTAGTCTTCAGCGCTGGGCGCTAGTAGCTGCAGGAGTAGTCTTCAGCGCAGGGCGCTAGTAGTAGTAGTGGTAGTAGTGTTGGAGACAGGTGGCTGGCGGAGGCCAGTGAGACTTACCTGTGGCGCCATAGCTCCAGCTCCATCTTCGAGGTACCTGCATCAAGGCGCCAGCTTCACAGGTTAGTACCGGACAGAGAGAGAGAGAGAGAGAGAGAGAGAGAGAGAGAGTTCTTCTTCTTCCTCTTCTAAGTCCACCATCTCTTCTTCACCCTCTCACTACCTGACTTCTCAGTATC